TGAGTTGTTCGGGCCCCTCGTCCTGGTGTGAGTCGTTCGGGCCCCTCCTCCTGGTGTGAGTCGTTCGGGCTCCTGGTGGTGTGAGTCGTTCGGGGCCCTCGTCCTGGTGTGAGCCGTTCGGGCTCCTTGTGGTGTGAGTCGCTCGGGCGCCTCGTCCTGGTGTGTGTCGTTCGGGCCCCTCCTCCTGGTGTGAGTCGTTCGGGCTCTTCGTGGTGTGAGTCGTTCGGGCCCCTCGTTGGTAGTAGTAGTAGTAGTAGACGCAGTAGATGGAGTAGTGGTAGTAGTAGTAGTAGTAGTAGTAGTAGTAGTAGTAGTAGTAGTAGTAGTAGTAGTACTACTAGTAGTAGTAGTAGTAGTAGTAGTAGTAGTAGTAGTAGTACTAGTACTAGTAGTAGTACTAGTAGTAGTAGTACTAGTACTAGTACGTACTAGTAGTAGTAGTAGTAGTAGTAGTAGTAGTAGTAGTAGTAGTAGCGTTTAGTAGTAGTAGTAGTAGTAGTAGTAGTAGTAGTAGTAATAGTAGTAGTAGTAGTAGTAGTTAGTAGTAGTAGTAGTAGTAGTAGTAGTCGTAGTAGTAGTCGTAGTAGTAGTAGTAGTAGTAGTAGTCGTCGTCGTCGTAGTAGTAGTAGTAGTAGTAGTAGTAGTAGTCGTTCGTAGTAGTAGTAGTAGTAGTAGTAGTAGTAGTAGTAGTAGTAGTAGTAGTAGTAGTAGTAGTAGTTAGTAGTAGTAGTAGTAGTAGTAGTAGTAGTAGTAGTAGTAGTAGTAGTAGTAGTAGTAGTAGTAGTAGTAGTAGTAGTAGTAGTAGTAGTAGTAGTAGTAGTAGTAGCACAAGTAGTCGTATCCAAGGCAGTTTGGAGGCCTCTTGGAGATCGTAGAGGGGCCTCTTGGGGTCTCTTTTGAGCCTCTTGGGAGCGTCCGGGGGCCCTCTTGGGCGCCTCTTGGAGCGTCTTGGGGGCCTGTTGGGGCCATCTTTGGGGCGATCGATCACAGATGGGGCGAGCATTTTTGTCAGTACCCCCGTCGGGGCCACGATCCTCGTGAGGGGTGTCGAATTTTAGCCCTCCCAGGGATAGAAAAAGGACCCTCTGACCACCCGCGAAACCCCCTCTCCAGGTCCAGGGGGAGGGGTGGGGGTTGGGGGTGGGGTAAACCCCTCCCCGAAGGGGAAGAAGGGGGGTTGAGAACAGAGAGAGCTCGCTAAACCACTCACGCCCAAAGGGCTGGTGGGATTCCGACCCGCCCGCCCGCCCGCCACCCGCCCGCCCGCCCGCCGCCCACCCGGCCGCTCGCCCGCCTTCCGCGTAGCACCCGCCACCCTGCACTCAACAGCCTCCGCCTCCAAGACAACACCTAGCATTCAACAGCCCCCAGGGCTCCCGGGACTGCCCACGTCCGCTCCCAAACGCGCCACGACACGCCAAGAGGGCCCTAAAGCTTGCCAAGACAGCCCCAAGAGGCCCCGGACACGCCGAAGATGGCTTCAGAACGGCCGACGACGCCGCCAAAACGCCCCAAGAGCGCCTCCAGAGGCCCCTCCACAGGGCCCCGCATTTTTGCGCTCTCGCATGTTCCGCCTCCCCACGGTCCCGGACGGTGTCAGAGGCCCAACAGACCGCTCCAAGACGGCCGAAGAGGCCCCCAAGAAAGACCAGAGACGGCCCAGGAGGCTCCCCAGATAATTAAAGAGGGCCTCGAGAGCGACCCAAGAGAGCCCCAAGAGCGACCCAAGAGGGCCCGAAGAGCGCGACATTTCAAGGTCTCCGGCCTGAGAGGCTCCTAGGACGCCCCCGGAGGCCATCAAGAGGCTCCTAAGAAGCCCCGTGAGGCTCCCAAGAGGCCCCCCGGAGGCCCCAATAAGCCCCCAAGGGACCCCCAGGGAAGCCCCGTGCGGGCCCCCAAGAGACCTCGGTAAATCGTATTTCCCAGAGCTTTCCGGGAACATGATTCCTTGGGCTTCCGCCCACCGCCCCAACCATGTTTCCAATAGGCTTGCCGACAAGGCCAAAAAGGGCCCCACGGTAAGCCCCCAGAGGCCCCCCTCTTAAGAGAGCCGAGAAATCATGCTCCCGGAAAGCTTCCCGGGAGCATGATTCTCGGGTTGCCGCCTTCTCCCCAAACCATTGTCCCTAAACGCCTGTCAGGATAAAAAAAACGAGAGTCCCAAACAGCGCCTCCTGCCGCCACGCTCGGAAACGCGTCAAGCCCCGAAGCCTCCGGAGGCGCCCAACGACACCCCAACAAATCATGTTCCCAGGAAGCCTTACGGCCAGTGCCGCTGACGTTGAAGGAGGACGGTCCAGGACACCCAGAAGTCTTCCAAACAGTCTTCCAACAGGGCGCCGAGACAGCCCATGGCCGCCCCCAGACGGCCCAAGAAAGCCCCAACACAGACAAAAAGGGCCGCCAGAGGCCCCCAAGAGGCCCCGAAGCGAGGACATATCGTTCGAACACGCCCAAGATGGCCTCCGGACGGCCCACAAGGCTTCCAACACGGCCCAAAGGGACGCCAAAATCATTGATTGTCCTTAGGTTTTGGATGGATTTCAGACACCACATGTCGCCCCAACAGGCCCCCACGAGGGCGCCGAGACGGCCCAGGGGCGCCCTGCCGCTGGCACGAGGCGGGGCCCGGGACGGGGCCCTCGCACCGGGGGGCCCGGGGGCCCTGCCGTGGCGCTGGGGGCCTCGTAAAGTCGGCCAGAAATGGCGTTTCCAGACAACGAAAAAGACAAATGACCGCCCGAGCTAATGTGTTTTCCTTTGGTTTTTGATCGATTTTCGAGCTCTCGCCTTTTGAGTTTCCTGACGCTCCACGACGGCACAAGAGGCTTCAATTTCCGCTCCAAGGCATTCCCAGAGGCCTCGAAGACGGTCACAAGACAGCCCACGGGGGTCCCAAGACCGCGCCAGAGGCGCCCAAGGCGGCCCGAGAGGGCCCCAAGACGGCCCCAAGATGGAGCCAAGAGGGTTGACACGAACCGAAAACCCCAATTCTTCCACCCCGAGAGGCTCTCAGGAGGCCCCGAGAAGCCCCTAACAGGCTTCAAGAGGCCCCGAGAAGCCCCCCAGGGGGCCGAAGAGTATCCAAGAAGCCTCCCACGAAGGCCCCAAGAGGCAAAAATCCATGTCTTGCCGTAGGTTTTTGATTGATGTTAGAGTTTTCAGCCTTTTGGCGTCCTGACGCTCCAAGACGGCCAAAAAGGCCTCCAAGACCAATCCAAGATAGCCCAAGAGGCCTCCAACAGGGCCCAAGACAGCCCGAGGGGGCACCATACGGCCCCAAGGGGGGCCCAAGAGGGGTAAGACGAGCCGAAAATCCGAGCCTTCCACCCCGAGAGGCTCTCAGGAAACCCCAGAGGCCCTCAAATGGGACCCAAGAGGCCCTCAAGAAGCTCCCCAGAAGGCCGAAGCGGTTCCAAGAAGCATTGTTTTCCCATCGGCTTTTGATGGATTTTAGAGTTCCCAGCCTTTTGGCATCCCGACGCCCAAAGACGGCCCAAGTGGCCCCCAAGACCGCTCCAAGATAGCCGAAGCGGCCTCCAAGAGGGCCCCAAGACGGCCCACGAGGGCCCCAAGACGGTGCCCGAGGCGCCCAAGACGGCCCGAGAGGGCCCCAAGAGGGCCCCAAGAGAGCCCCAAGAAGGGGAACGCGAACCCAATTGCAGAGCTTCCCGCCCCAAGAGGCCCACAGGAGGCCCCAAGAGTCCCCAAGTGGTCCGACGAGGCCCCCCAAGGCCCCCCACCAGGCCCCAAAAGGCTCACAGGAGACGGACACGGGGCCCCAAGATAGCCGAACAGTGCTCTCGATGCATCAGAATTTCTTCAAGGAGGCCCCGGGAGGCTTCCAGATTGCCCCAATGTGGCCTCAAGCCGGGCCTCCACGCAGCCAAGACGGCCAATTGGCTGCTTCAGACTGCAGAACATCACTTTCCGACTGCCCGGGGAACCCCGACGATGCCCCCAAGGGACCCCAAGAAGCTCCAAGATGCCCCCCCGGGAAGCACCCAAGAGGTGCCTCCAACAGCAAATTGAGGAAGCACGGAGAATCCCCCAGAAGCCCTTCATATACCCCCACCAATCACTAGCCCAAAACATACCCGGACCCGGGGTCAGCTGGGGTGAAAAGGGCCGCCCGCTAGAGCGTTTTCGGCCTTGCCGCCACCTCGTCTGGGTACGGGTCGGTGCCCGAAACAACCATGCATACCCGGACCTAGCTGGGGTGGTGGTTGGGCCACCCCGTCTAGGTACGGGTATGTATGGTGGTTTCGGGAGCCGACCCGGACCCAGGGGGGGTGATGCCCCGAGGGCCCCTTGCCACCCCGTCTGGGTAAGGGTACGGGTATCTTTCGCGCTCGAGAACCAAGACCCAAGAGTTTCCCAACAGGCCCTCAGGAGGCACGACTATGTCACGCGCCTGTGCTTGATAGCGCTGTCCAAGATCATTAGCGCGCCCCTGGCCTGGGCTAGAACCTGAGCGCGCGCGAAGCGCGCGATGGTTCTAGGGCGCGCGCGCGAACCTGAGCGCGCGGGGCACCTGTTTGTGGGCCCCGGGACTGCCCCCCCAGGGATATATATATATATATATATATATATATATATATATACATACATATATATGAACCTTCCAAGGAAACCTATGCGGAGTCCACCTGAGCGTGCGCGACGCCGTTGATGGATAGCGTGAGTTTCATCCATCTCTCGTAGCTGTGTTGGCTTGAGACAGGCAGCGGAGTCACCGGGCGGTGCCGCCCGTCTGTGGCCGCTGCCGAGCCACTCTGGCTACTGTAAGACTGCCGCGCTCGCGCGGCCGTTTGCAGGGCCACGCTCCGACGACTGATTCTGATCAGCCTCGCTGGCAGCCTTGGCGGGTGGAGGGGAGCGAAGACCTGGCTGGGAGACGAGGATCCCGGGCGCGGGTCGCCCCTCTCCCGCTTAGTTGCTGGCGAGGAGCCCGATGGAGCGGGCAGCCCCAGCTGCCGGCGGCTGGCCCTTTTCGAGAGGAGCCTGGCTCGACGCGGCGCTGAACGGCGAGCTGGTGGCGGGGCTGCCGCCGAGGGCTGGAGCACGGGTCCTGGCGCGGGTCTAGGACGACCCAGGGGCGCCGCAGGGCGTCGAGATGCTCGAGGTCGAGGTCGCCTACCAGGCGGACACCATCGACAGATTCATCAAGGCCCGGCAGGTGGGCGCCAGCGACACGTACTTCTCATGGTAGGCAGCCTCCTGCGGGCAGCGGGGCGCACATCGCGCGGCCACGGTCTTCCACCTCTGCAGGTGCAGCGCCAACAAGTGCGGGACGGTCGCTCCAGCTGGCGCTGTGGTCGAGCACTTGGACATGTGGCAGGTGATGGGCCCCAGCGGGGTGGCCCGCGAGCGGGCGAAGCTCATCTGCCCAGCAGCGGATCCTGGGGCGCCTGTGCGGACCGCCTCGCCCTCGGCCGAGCCATTGCCTGGAGAGCTCGGCGGCTGGCCGCTCGGGGATGGGGCAACAAAGTCGAGGAGAAGCCTCGCGGGCCCCCGCACATGTGCGCCCGCGAGGTGGAGGGCACCCAGACCCCGGGCGGTCCAGGAGAGGCGGGCCCGCTCGACCAGGAGATCGCCGGGCTCGAGGAGACCGCCGAGGACCCCGCGCTCGAGGCGCGGCTGGCGCGGCTGGAGGGCAGGGCAGCTCGTGGTGTGCCGAGGCAGGGCACGCCCAAGAACGCTGCGCGCCCGGCAGGAGCCATAGGCGAGCGCCTGGCACAGGAGGTTGCTGGCCGAGCCGCCGCTGCTGCCCCAGCGCGCACTGGCGCCTCGAGGAGGAGGAGCAGGCCAGCATCGGCCGTGACCACGGCACTCCTGGACCGCGACGACGACGACGTGGAGGACGGCGCGGAGAACGACACAGAGCGCCTTGGGGGCTGCGACCGCTACCAGGGCGTGAGCTGCAAGCGCGACTTGTTCGGCTGGATCGCTCGACAGCGGCCCGACGCTCTCCTCGTGAATGGGCTTGGCCACCTGTGCAGCCAGCTCACTCAGCAGTTGTCCGCAGGCGAGGCCGGCCTGCTGGCCCCAGGTGTCACACAGTTCCTGTACACGGTGCTCTTCGTTGCTCACCCGCCGCGGACGCTGGGGGCAGTCGAGGGGCGGGTCCTCCGCCCGCCAGGGCTGGCGCTCGACGGCATCGTGCGCAGGGAGGTCATCAAGACTGCGGATCTGGTCATGCTGAGGTTCAAGGCGCGGTCGATGGGCATCCGCGACGGGAACTGGCAATCGGCGCGATGGCTCACGCTGGTCTCGCAGGAACAGCTTCCGTCAGGCACCTCTCTGGGCGAAGTGAACGCTGCCGAGAAGGTCGAGGCCCGGGAGCTGAAGGTCGCCGAATTCCGCCAGCGACTTGCAGACCGCAGGCCGGGCTGGGGGCCTGGCCGGGAGCCGTCTCCGTTGCTGGGGAGGACGGCACCTGCAGGCCATGGGCGCGCGGAGGCGCGCCGCCCGCCCCTCTGCTCCCGGGGCGCCAGTCTCAGGATTGGCCAAGGCGATGAGGATCCTTGCCGAACGAGTCCCAGGCGACGTTCCCGCAGCTCTCCGCGCCGGGAAGAAGCCGCCAGCAGCGCGGAGGACCAGCTGCAGTCCCACGCGGTCGGTCCAGCTCCTGAGCGACTTCGAGGGGGACCTCGACGCAGCTGCCGCCGCCCGCGTGCCACCAGCGGACGCGGCTGCGGGCCGGGGCTTCGCGCAGCACAAGGCGGCCCACTCGAGGCGCGAGGGCGAGACCCAGGCGGCGTGGAAGGCGCGCATTGGGAGGCCGCCGGCTGCCAAGAGCCGCGGCGAAGGCAAGACGGGGAAGAGCCGCGGCACAAGCGCTGCTCGCAGGACAGCCCGGGTTCAGGCGTGAGGGCCGACGCTGCGGAGGCCGCGGCCTCGCGCACGCCCCCGCCTGCCCTCCGCCCGCCTGAGCGGCAGCTGCGCGGCAGCTCGCAGCCGCGGCGGTGGCGCCAGATGCCAGCCGAGGTGGGCACAGGTATCAGCTCCAAGTTCAGGCTCCCTCTCGCGGTCCACGAGGCGGTGCACGGTTTGCCAGGGGCGATCGGGCGGTATGTTTGTGAGATGTGCACTTCGCCAGACCCCACGGCCAGCTTCGCGCGGCTGCGCGAGGTGTTGCCGTTACCGTTGCCCGAAGCCCCACTCTTCGAGAGGCACCGTGCCGCCTGGTACTTGCACCAGCAGTTGTCGGAGACCTGCGAGGTGGACGCCGCCACGGCGCAGGGGCGGGCCCTGCTCGTGGACTTCAGCCTGAACTACTCGTACATGGGGCACATGCGTTGTCCAACCGACGCCGCAGTGCGGCCCGCGGCAGGTCTGGTCAGTGCGCTCGGCATTGTGCAGGAGGGGTGTGCGAACTTCGTTCAGGATCCTGCCGCAGCGTTCGAGCTCCCGGACTGGGACCGGGTCATCGCGTCGAAGACCGTCTCCCACGGGGGCAAGGTGATGTCCCGCGCCCCGCCGCTCTCGCTTGCAGGCAACATGCCAGGCCTCCCCGCGCAGGGCGACCCCGCATCGGTCAAGGCGGTCGACCTCGCGGACGCTCAGGCGGGCGCCGGGCGTGCCGGCCCCACGCTGGCTTTGCTCCCTCGGGATGAGTCGCCTGCCGAGGTCCCGCAAGCGGCGATCCAGGTCACGTCCAAGCAGGAGTGGTACCGCATCGGGACCAAGCTTGTCAAGCTGGGGCTGGCTGCGCCGATCGCCGACGACCGCATCTTCAAGGCCGGGAGCCGCAGGGTGCTCGCTGGGGCGTTCGGGGTCGCCAAGGGCGGCACGCGGTCACCCGGCCAGGCGTGCGTCCAGCGCCTGATCATCAACATGGTCTCGGCTGACAGCTACCAGCGCATCATGGAGGACGGCATTGGGACCCTAAGTGCATCGCCCTCGGGGGTCGCCGTCCCGCTCCCAGAGGGGCACATGCTGCTCGGGTCCTCAGATGACCTGGCCTCCGCTTTCTACGGCTGCGAGCTGCCCGAGGCTTGCCAGCCACACATGGCCCTCGCAGAGGCGATCCCAAACGAGCTCATCGGTGTGCCGGGTCCAGGGAAGACACACCTCGCGCTGCTCGTCTTCCCGTTGGGCTGGATCATAGCGGACACGGAGTTTCAGCACTGCCACAGGCGCCTCGGGGGCGGCGCTCGCCCCCTCGCTGCGGGGTTTCCTGCGGATCTCGAGTGGCACAGGGACCGCCAACATCCGATCAAGTCGAAGGAGCTCGAGCAGCAGTGGGTCCAGTACTGCATCGACGACTGGGACCATGGCGAGGGGGTGCCCAGCGCGTTGGTCGCGGAGCTCATCGGCACGGTGAGCGGCGCCCCGGAGAAGCAGAGGGCCGCCTACGGCGGCTCGGGGACCAGCGACGCCCCCGGCAAGGTCAAGCGCCGCGCGCTGGTCCTGGTGCAGATGGGCGCAGGTCTTGACGGGGCCGTCGGCCAGGTCGGAGTCACGGCCGAGAAGCTGCACCGGACGCTCGCGCTCATCCTGTGCGGCATGGGCAGGCAGGGCCTCTCGACGCAGGGCATGCTCATGGTCCTGGGCAGGTGCGTCAGGGCAGTGGAGTTCAGGAGGCCTTCTACGGGGTTCCTCAACAGCGTGGGGGCTGCTGGGTGCTGGACGCGACCGCAGGCTGATCCCCTTGGAATGTGCGACGAGCTCTTGGGCTTCGCGATGGCGCTGCCGCTGGCATACACCGACCTGCGCGCAAAGATCGTCATTTGTGGCATCGCGACCGATGCCAGTGAGCGCGCTGGGGGCATCTGCCACACGGCTGGGCTCTCGGCGCAGGGCGTTGCCTGCGCGAGGGGAGGAGCTTCAGCAGTGACTTTGCGGCCTGATGCAGTTGCGGCTCCTGTGCGTGGTGCGCGGTGGCGCCCTCGCATCGTTCTCATCGAGCTCTACGCAGGCGGTGCTGGGGCCGCGGTGGAGGCCTCCAGACTCCCGATCGACATGATCGCGCCCGTCAGCTGCGAGGTTGAGCCCGCTGCCTGGCGACTGGTGCGTCGCCGCTGGGCGGGCGTGACCAAGCTTGGCAACATCGAGGCCGTCGACACGGTGCGGTTCACGGAGATGCTGAAGGGTTACGCGCGGGACGCCGACCGGGTCGTCTTGAGCGCGGGAAGCCCGAGCCAAGATCTTGCAAGCATCAATGTCGCGGGGACCGACCTAGAGGGGTCGAGGCCGAAGCTCTTCTTCCCGGTCCCCGAGCTGACGCAGGCAGCGGAGGTTGCCTGTCCTGAGCGCACCATGGTGTTTGTCGAGAACGTGTCCAGCATGACCCTGGAGTCGAGGGCGGAGTTCTCCAGGGCGCTGGGTGTCACGCCCGTGTTCCTCGGGCCCAGGTGTCACGCCCACGTCAAGCGGCCGCGCCTGTACTGGTGCTCGTGGCCCGTCACGGCGTTCACGGCGTCCGACGTCACCGACGAGACCAAGGGCGTGAGGGAGGCCGCGAGCTTTGAGGTTTTGCTTGTGGTGGAGAGGCTCCCACTGAATGCCTCGGTCTTGGAGGGCTGGTCGACGCTGGACCCAGAGGCGGACCTCCCGTGTTTCACGAGGCCGATCCCGGGACGCCACCCGCCGTTCCGGCCCGTGGGCCCCGACTGCGCCTCAGTGCTGGCCGCGGGGCGCTGGGCTGCCGACAGCTACCGCTACCAGGTCGACAACTACGGGGACGGCAGCCTCATCTGGGACGCGAGGCGTCAGCGGGGCCAACTGCCCGTGCCTGAGGCGAGCTGGAACGTGATCCCCGATTTCCAGCAGCCAGGCTTGCGCTGGCAGCGGCCCGGGCACATCTCAGCGCTGGAGCTGGAGGCTGCGGTGGCTGGAGCACGCTGGAGGTGCCGAGCAGGTGAGAGCCACCGCTGCCGCTGCCTGCCCATTCTGGATGCCCAACCGTTCACGGCAGTCAGCACCAAGGGCAGATCGAGCGTGAGGGCTTTGCAGCCCGCGCTCCGTCAGCTCAACTCCCTGCTCCACGCGACGGCCAGGTACCCGCTGTACAAGTACTGCGACACCGTCGACATGCCCGCCGACACGCCGCCCCGCTGGGGCTTCGGCCGCCGCTGCCCCGCTGCCAGTGCTGCCGCCGGCGAGAGCCAGGAGAGCCGCCCCTGGCAAGCGGGCAGCGCAAGCACCAGCAAAGGTGAGCCGGGTCACGGCCCAGGCGATGGCGCAACGAGCTGCAGCGAGGTCCCAGCCGCCGAGGGGGCGTTGGTCACGCCGCTCACCCTGCGGCGGCATCGTGCGGCGGTCGAGGAGGTCGTTGTTTTCTGGATTCAGGAGCACCGGCAGCCGCAGACGCCCGCTCAGGTCGACGCTGGCGTGGCCGCCTTCATCGGGAGCCGT